TCGACGTGTGTCAGAAATAAACATTAACATGCTGTTCCAATATTTTAGAGTTTGTGCTGTTTATACAATATGACGCTATGTTTGGAGATTCGAGACTAGATTAGTGTGCAGTCTGTTATATTTACATTTGTGCTTTGCAGACACTGGACACTTGCTTGCAAAAACTTTAAGCAATTGTTTACTTTTTTGAGAATGCTGTTTTATTACTTTTTTTCAAATATTAACTCATTTTAATTTCTAACATTTTATATTACATATTTAATTTTAATAAAGTTGTACATAGAGCCAGACCGATATATCGGCCGGCCGATATTAGGCATTTTCCAAACTATCGGTATCGGCACTTATAATGGCCGATAAATGAATATTTCAAAAATAACATAAAAACAGACGAAACACGCTTGAACCATGTCTTGAGTGTTGGAGTTGTATAGTTTGTCCACCAGAGGGCGCTCTACACCGTCCCTGTTGGCAACACTCGTTGAATTGTTCACGATACATACGTTGCTTGAATAACAATTAAAAGATCATCCCCTTCAGTTCTCTTAACTCAAATAAGCATGACAAAATTTGTGACTATCATGTCCAGTTTAAATAAATAAATAAAATAAATAAATAAAATATTGGCCGATATATCGGAATATCGGATTTTAAAACCCAAAAATATTTGTATCGGTATATCGGCCTTCAAAATCCTTTATCGGTCGGGCTCTTGTATGCCTGTATGTGTGCATAAACATCCAACTAGAGTAAAAATGTCTTTGTTAAACCATTCTAGCAGCAGAACTGAAGCTGATGATCCCCTTTCCTTTTAATTATCAGTCTTGGAAGTGTTAATTGCACAAATCTTCTCTGCACTTTTTTGCTCAGGGTAATAGTGCCTTTCTGAAGAGCTTATATAAAACCTGCACTGAAAATAGTTCCTCTGCACAAGGACTCACATTTGACCATGTTAATAATTAGGTAGAGTATAAGGAGATTCTTATAGGATAAATGATGACCTTCACGCTGTTCTCAGTAATACTGACACCTGTTTGAGATGTGCTGAATAAGTTCACATCAGATTTGTGTTGGCGCTGCTGTCGAGGCCGTCAGAGACAGAAGGCTGGTGTCTCTTTGCTGGAATGCTAATGTGATCTTTGACGATGGGATGTGGTGGCGAATCCCTGACATAAAAATGAGCGCTCTCTCTCTCTCTCTCTCTCTCTCTCTCTCTCACAGTCTATTCCCTCACTATATCTCTCTTTTTCACTCACCCCCTGGGTAGTAGACAGTCACTGTGACATGTGCAGGTGCTTAAGTGATGGTGTCCCAGTTTATTAAATGAATATTTGACACGCCAGCTGTTGATTAATGAAGGGAAGCTGAAGTTCCTCCTCAATCTGCTACCGCTTGACATAATTATATGACACCATGTATTTTACACGTAAGCAATAAGGTACGAGAGGCTGTGCTGTATCGTGAATAAGTAACGGCTGAAGGGCGTTGTTAGGCACGACGTGAAGCGGATCCCTATTAATATCAGTTAACGGTATCGGGCAACCCTATTAATATCGGTTAACGGTATCGCCCAACCCTATTAATATCGGTTAACTGTATCGGCCAACCCTATTTATAAAAGTTAACGGTATCGGCCAACCCTATTAATATCGGTCAACGGTATCGGCCAACCCTATTAATATCGGTTAACGGTATCGGCCAACCCTTTAAATAAAAGTTAATGTATCGGCCAACCCTATCAAAATCGGTTAACGGTATCGGCCAACCCTATTAATATCGGTTAATGGTATCGGCCAACCCTATTAAAATCGGTTAACGGTATCGGCCAACCCTATTAATATCGGTTAACAGTATCGACCAACCCTATTAATATCGGTTATCGGTATCGGCCAACCCTATTAATATCGTTATCGGCCAACCCTATTAATATCGGTTAACGGTATCGGCCAACCCTATTAATATCGGTTAACAGTATCGACCAACCCTATTAATATCGGTTATCGGTATCGGCCAACCCTATTAATATCGTTATCGGCCAACCCTATTAATATCGGTTAATGGTATCGGCCAACCCTATTAAAATCGGTTAACGGTATCGGCCAACCCTATTAATATCGGTTAACAGTATCGACCAACCCTATTAATATCGGTTATCGGTATCGGCCAACCCTATTAATATCGTTATCGGCCAACCCTATTAATATCGTTAACGGTATCGACCAACCCTATTAATATCGGTTAACGGTATCGACCAACCCTATTAATATCGGTTAACGGTATCGACCAACCCTATTAATATTGGTATCGGCCAACCCTATTAATATCGGTTAACGGTATCGGCCAACCCTATTAATATCGGTTATCGGTATCGGCCAACCCTATTAATATCGGTATCGGCCAACCCTATTAATATTGTTATCGGCCAACCCTATTAATATCGGTTAACGGTTTCGACCAACCCTATTAATATCGGTTATCGGTATCGGCCAACCCTATTAATATCGGTTATCGGTATCGGCCAACCCTATTAATATCGGTATCGGCCAACCCTATTAATATCGGTAACGGCCAACCCTATTGATATCGGTTATCAGTGTTGCAGTGTTGCGCAGTGATAAATAGAACTGTTGGGTGAAGTGGTCATAGACGTGTTTTATCGTGAATAAAGCACAGCTATTGACCAATCAGAATCAAGGATTGGAACTAACCGTTTTATAATACCAAGTAAGGAAGGTTGAAAAATGAAAAGCATGATTTAAAAAACAGGGTTGCACGATTTAGGAAAAATCTGACATTCGTATATTTAGTTTTTCTGCTATATTGCGTTATGAAAACAGTTTCACCAGATGACTTAAAGTTCTATTTGGAAAGAATTAAATCTCAGGGTATATGTCAATAAAATGCTTTATGCCAAAGAGGTTTGGCTTACAATTTGTTTTGGCAATCCCTGCATAGTGCATAAATGTTTTTATATTTCCTGTATTTAAATGTTCATTTAAATAACCCTTAATTTATCAATAGATGTTGTTCAGTCTAATTGAAGTATATATATTTTTTGGTTCAAGACTGTTTACTGAAAAATATTAACCTGGTATGAACCATGAAAAAAAAGTTGTTAACATTATTGCATTATTGTTAACATTACGGTCGTTTGAAAAACTGAACAAATGTAAACGTAGTAACCACAATAACCTCAGAATACAGCCAGAACAACGGTTAGAAAGAGGAAATAGGAGGGAATATGCAGTGTCATTTGTGCTTCTCCATTCTTTCTCATTTGCGTGTACACCTAGTAATTCTGGGTGTTTAAAGTCACAAAGCAAAGTTGAAGGTCCGAACATAGCATCCCGCTATATTGGGATCCAGCCGATGCATTCACACATTCTGCTTCTGGATGCATTACGTTTCTGTTGCCTGGCTTAAAGATTTTGTATTAGGGTTGCATGATATTGAAGAAAAATGCGATAACTTGTGTATGTGTCCAGTCTACTCTCTGCTGCCTGCGTCTACCTAAAATTTGGACTTTTTGTAATCTTTTGAAGTATTAAAAGCCGTTGCGATATGCATGTCATGATATGTGGCATTTCGATATTTCATGCATAAAGTGTAATGCATTTCTGAATCAAAACCTTCCGATATGCACATGAGAGCTAATCTTGTGTTTTCACTAAGTGAGCTGGTTGCTTTTTCACAGAAGCATCACCAATGCCATGCGGTCTCCAACACAGATCTCACATTTCACTACCGTTATGATGGAGGATGAGATGCCGCTCGACTGTCTCAATCATACAGCCAGTCAGTAGCGTGATGTGAAGTAGGGGTAAAAATGTTCTCCGCGTGAGCTGTGTCCTCAAAGACAGGTTTGTAGTTCCTAATCTCGCGTAACCTTGATCTCATTGTATCGAAGGAGACCGCATTCATCCTATGGCTTAACCTGATGAACCTGTTAACTGTGGTGCCCACATAGTGACACGTGATGTGGGATGCTGGCGGTGGGTGTAAATGAATGTCACTCTTAATGTAGTCGTGCTTGACAGTGAATCTATTCATCCAGCTAAACGCAGAGACATTCAGAAGCAGTTGAACAGAGTGAAAATTATGGGCACAAAGCCTCTGCTTGTGTTTAGTATGCGTGTAGCCGATCAGGGATGTTGTACGCTGCAGAGTAAACGAGTTGAGGGCTTGCCTGGTCAGCTCAGCACTTGATTTCTTCCTAGCTACGGTATTGGTTATTTTAAGCAGCCAAAGCAAATCTGTATCTAATGTGTAGAGGATACTTTTCAGTGCCTTTGGGTCAACTTTGATCACAGTAGTAAGCAATTACATTGGTATTTTAGTATTTATTAATATTTTGTATTTCATTTTAATTTTATAATTTGCTTTTGTCATAGTTTCTCTTAATATATTAGTATTAAGATTTCTCTTAATATATTAGTTTCTCTTAATATAATATTAAAGCTTACATTTATATTTCAATTTAAGTACTGAATGTTGTTTCAGTTTTTTTGTTTTATAGCGTTTAAAATTTTGAACCACCTCTTATTTTTATATTTACACTTTCCATTTTAAATGTAAGTTTTAATAATTTTATGTTATGTGCTTTTGACATTTTATTTAATATTTAAGGACTCTTTAAATATTTTAATTCAATTTATTTAAACTAATTTCAGTGTTTTTTCCATTTAATATTTATTTTATTTAATTTACCTAAAAACATTTTTTTAACTGGGGTGATGCGTGTCTTATTACCAATCTAGTTAAATGATAGTATTTAAGTTTTGCTACTGCCTTAAAAATGTGTTTATAATCTGCATTGTAACAATGAACCTGTCGACCTTTCTAAACTGTGCGTTGCATTAAATGGTTTCACCTCTTTAGCTCGAGCACTTCCTCCTTTTTAACATTGCTCTCTTTCGTCTTGCACATTTGTTCTGCACACTTTCAGTCTAGTGCTAAATCTGATTGCATCTGTAATCTTTCCGTCTCTCCTCTGTTTACAGTTTTATCTCCAGGACACCAAAAGCAGCAATGGCACCTTCATCAACAGCCAGCGTCTGAGCCGGGGGTCGGAGGAGAGCCCTCCCTGCGAGGTGCTCTCCGGTGACATCATTCAGTTTGGGGTGGATGTGACCGAGAATACCCGGAAAGGTGAGGAAAGCCTGTTTGCATTAGTGGTGAAAGTGAAATGTGTGTTTGTCTGTACCGAACTCGGTACTTTTAATGGCACCGACCAAATGAAGTTGATACTACCGAGTACTGATTCACATTAAATCAATCTGTGATAAATTTCGGTACCTGAGAACGCATCTGGGTGCGAGAGTAATACTATTTAAATACAAATCCTGCATGTTCTGTGTGAATGAGTGGCACAGACGTGTGGTTTCATGTACCCCACACACACACACACGCACGCACTGAAGCACGCGTGACACTAGCTGTGTTTTTCAGACTCTGCAGTCTCACTACATGAGAACACAGTGTTGTAGTACTCGAGTCTCGAGACCATATTTTAATGGTCTTGGTCTTGTCATGGACTCGAGTCCATTTGGACTCGGAATTGACTCGTACTCGAACATTTTTTTTTTTAGGACTCGGAATTATTCCCAAATCCACTCGAGTTCAATTAAAAATATTTTTCATGATTATTAATGTATGTTAATAAAATATTTCTTTAAATTGATTGACACGCCCAGTTATTGGTGATTTTCTAGATTTTCAACTGCGCATGACAAATTGTAATAAAATTACTTTTAACACCACCTACTATGTGGCCTTTTTACCCTAAACTGATCATATTTTTTAAACTCTAAGTAAATTCAGTAAAAAAAAAAAAAAGATTTCTCTAAGTAAATAAAAGTAAATTAGGTAATCAACCCTCACTGGTCTCGGTCTCGACTCGGACTCGACTCACTATGGACTCGGTCTTGACTCGGACTCGACTCTCTCTGGTCTCGGTGTCGACTCGAGTGAGGTGGTCTCGACTACAACACTGTGAGAACATGAAGAGCCGCTCTGAGTCACTGAATTCATCAGCATTTTTCAGTTTCATTTAAGAAAAACTATCGTTACATCATTAACACTGTCTTCACCACAACCCATCAAAATAAAAGTAAACTTGATAATATGTTACTGCAGTACATTACAATTTAGCTGTCTCATTTTAATTATAATATAATACTAACACTAATAATAGATCATAAAAAAAATATTTTTTAAGGAATAATCACACTTTTTCTTCTATTTTGTCATTTTAACTGTATAAAGCTCAGTTGTGTTAACAAAAAAGTTTAATTTCATATGAAAGATCAAATAAATGTTATGTCTTCATTTGATTACTTGAAAATTCACAACACAGAATTTGTGAAAAGCAAAACATTTCATAGAAATAATTTTTTATTATTATTAAAATGGTTGTTTTTATTAATATTCAAGCATCACAGACAATTGCAGACTGTGACCGATGCAGCTCTTGCATAATGTCAATAACATTTCTACAAATGACTTGTAGAGTGTTAATTTGGGGCTTGTTTCTTTATAGTGTAATAGAGGACACCTTCGATTGAAAGTTGAAGACTTTGACACATGCAACTGTTACAAACTGCACTTTTTGAAGCTTCGGCAATGGCAGAGATGCAATTTTGAAACCCAAGAGTGCTGGTTGATTGCTTTTCTGGATGTGTTGCAACTTAAATGCATGCAATGGGACGCTTTCACAATCAGACACAAATGCAAAGTAACTGACCCTTTTAAAACTAATGTAAGCACACACTACTTAATAGCAGAACGAAAGTACGTAAGAATGAGAACCCGTTAGGAGCGCTGTATTTTAAATGGCAAGGCCAGTTTAGTTTGGAAACTTTTTTTGTTGTGTTTTTAATTCTTAGCATTGTTGCGGCACAAGTTGGCTTCGTCTCATCAGAACACCAGGAAATCTTCTCTGGATGTTTTTGCTGATCATAAACACACTCATTTTTAAAGCTGATAGTCTTGCTTCTTGGATGATCTCATATTACTGCTTGTTATAAACATTTTTATGGCCTGTTTATGTTTGGGATAACCTGTACCTTTCTTTAAATTCTTATTAAATAAATTATTTGCATGTCTTTTTAGGTACGACCACTGTTGTTTATGTACCTGGTTTTCTCTTGTTCTTATTAGTCACTCATGGCTGTATAGTGTCGACCATCAAGCTCTTCTTACCAGATGGCATGGAAGGTCGGCGGCGATCAGAGTAAGTCCTGTTTGAATATTTTTACTTTTTTTTTTTTTAATCCGTCATTCGCTCAACCTGGTGTGTTATTGTCATTAAGGTTGTGCTTACCAGCTTTATCATTTATAAAAACATGCACAGAATGTGATAAAATCTCTGACAACTGAGGCTTACAGCTGCTGATTATACTGATTCAGTTGACCAAAACAAGATTTGCCTGTGCTTATTCAGAGGAAATGATATGTGGGCTGTTAGTTGGACTGCTAGATGCCAAATGTTGATTGACGGGAATTAGTGGTGGATCAGATCTGGGCTTTTACGCTGGTATTGTTTCTGTGGTTGTTGTCATTTCCCATGTTTATTTTCTTGGTTATTTAGCAAACGCAAGTATTTACATATATAATCTAACCACATGCCACAATGATGCTCTGTGCCTTTCCATTAAGTCTTTTGGTTTAGCTGAATATTCCAAATGAAATTCAGCGTAAGGTCCATTTACAGCATCTATGGCATCGAAATGATTTGGACTAACAGTCACTTGGTTTTTAGTTCATAAAATGTATGTGTGATGTTGTGTAAGAACTATAGGTTTACTTTTGCTTTGTTCTTTTTTTTATGAATTTCATGTACATTACTGATAAGAAAAAAAATGATTATTAATAATAATATCAGTTATTTCACTGAAAAGCCATCAAATGAGAGCTGTCACAGAGTATACTGGGAATGTCAATTTATGAGTTGTAAAACTTGCTTGTTCTTTTTTATGACTGTATATTTAACAGTATGTAACTGTAAAATTGCATGAAATTAAATTGCCACATTAGATCTATTCCAGTTTTTCCACCGTATATAGTAAGGGGACTTGCTGTTTACCAATAAACAGGTTTTGACCATAGGATTTATTCAGTCTTTTACTGTTAAAATTACGATCTATATATATACATACTGGTACATGCATGCATACAAAGTTCAAGTTCAAAGTTTATTTGTCACATACCAGTTATAGTTCATACAACGAGCAGTGAAATGTAAGTCTGGTATCCCTATAGACTCTATTAAAACCATACCTAAATACTAAAAAAAGATACAAAAAAAATTTAAATAGTATTAAGTTATTGAAGTAGTTCTCTAAACTACATGCATAAATACATACCGGTACATGCATACATACATGCATGCATACACACCAGTACATACATACATGCATGCATGCATACACACCAGTACATACATACATGCATGCATGCATACACACCAGTACATACATACATGCATGCATGCATGCATGCACACCGGTACATATATACATACATGCATACATACCAGTGTATACAAGCATACATACGTACCGGTACATACATAGATGCATACATACATACATGCATGCATACATACCGGTACATATATACATACATGCATACATACCGGTGTATACATACATGCGCACCGATACATACATGCATGCATACCTACCGGTACATGCATACATACATACAGGATGCCATTGATTTAATAGCACATTTTTCATCAAATTGTAATCATAGTTTGCAAAAAGGTGATGTTTTATGCTTCAATTTCTTTTGGTGCATGGCTCACTGTGACCCGGCCAGTTATTGATTTTTGATTGGATTTGTGTGATTCTGCACGAATGTCTGAGACGAGAGATGAGCACAGGCTCCACAGGGGTCTCGTGAGTCTCATCCGCCTCCATCTGCTCCCCGTTCCATTTCGACAGCATTAGTCTGAGTGTCACCAAAATCCACACAGGTTTTCTTACATTGAAATCTAGGTGTACACCAGCCATGTGCACCAACTTTACGTTTCACCTGGATTTTCTTCATTTAGTTAAAAGCCATTTATTCAGCTGCCATGCACGGTGCAGAGCCAAACAGTCGTCTAGTTAGTAATCTGATGCTCGGCATGCCGGGTGTTTATTAAATTCATGAAGAGGGATATTGATGGTCTTGTTGACGGAAGGGATTTCCTACCACCGTATGAATGCTATATGTTTGACCGTGCATGTATCATCGGCTGTAAAAATCGTTTAACGGAAGGCATCCGTGGAGCAGATGGCTCTCCCATTGAACGCTTCCCTGTGGCCTCCAGTGCTGGCAGGACCTGTTAAACCAACTCGCGTTGAAACAAGGTGTGTACTGTGGGCATTTCTGGAGCTTTAAAAGATTTCATGCATCTCCTCGTTTAGCGTGGAAGTGCTCGCTGAATGAAGCTGACAGGGAAATCTTAGAGATCTTTACTTTTTCTAAACTCCATAAACACAGGGGTGTGGGACCACACACCTTGAGTCTCGGCTGCTCTAAATCCTCCCGGTGGCTCGATGCGTTAATGACTGAACCTCTTTTCTTTAACCCCTGCTCTGTTAGGGATGGGTCAGTGATTGTTGACTGGTCGTTTAATAATTTACTAGTTTGTTAGTGGGGTCAGCTTCCGAGTATATCTAGATTATTATTTTTTCTGTATATAACATGTATGATAAAATATAGCACGTTCCATGTTAGTGGTTCTCAAACCTGTCTTGGAGTACCACCAACATTTTGTATGTCTCCCTATTTCTGACACACCCATTTCAGGTCTTGCAGTCTCTACTAATGAGCTCATGAGTTGAATGAGGTGTGATAGATGAGAGAGACATACAAAATGGCTACGTTTACATGCACAACTTCTGTTTCGATCCGACTGAATTCATTCCGATTGATGAATCCGAACGTAGTGTTTACATGAACGGTAAACGTGATCAAGTTGATGTGTGTGTTCAGTGTTCCCCTTAAAATGCTGATTAAATCCAGTCATAAAAAAGGAATTAATTTGGAATTAAATACTGTATATTTTCGAGGAATAAATAGGTGGTTCAGTACATCTGAATAAGTGGTTCAGTACATTTGAAATCAAATCGCGATGTAGACTAGTGTGTGTGAATATTAAACCACAAAGACTATTTAAATAAATACGAATCCTGCTTGCCTTGTTCTGTGTGAATGCCGACTCTCATTTCATTTACCACGCACACACTATATGAAGAAAGAAATGATTGAACTTCCTCTCTAGATCCACTCTGAAAGTCACTTCGTGATCATTTAACAGCTTCATTTGAGAAACTATCATTATGACATAATGAAACTATCATCATGACACACAGAAACTCAAAAGGTCTTCGCGGCAAACCGTCAAAATAAAAGTTCGGTTTAGCTTGACAGAAATATATTACTGTTGTACAGTAGAATTTAGATATGTCCAGATGTAATAATACACTAACACAATTTTTTAAACAAAACTGAATTTAAGGAATAATCCATGTTTTAATTTTAACTAAAGCTCATTGTGCAGCACATTATTTGACAAAGTTTATGATAAATTTAGGGCTGTGCAAAAATTAATCGCGATTAATCGCATCCAAAATAAAAGTCTGTGTTTACATAATATATTTGTGTGTGCTGTATATAATTATTTTGTATATATAAATACACACACATGCATGTATATATTTAAGAAAATGTGTTATTCATATATAAAATATTTATATTTATATAATATAGATTATGTATTTTTATTTATATACAGAATTTAAGCGCAAATAATTCTTAAATGTATACATGCATGCATAGGTATTTATTTATACAAAATAATTATATACAGCACACACAAATATATTATGTAAACAGAGACTTTTATTTTGGATGCGATTAATCGCAATTAATTTTTGCACAGCCCTAGATAAATTATAAAATTTGTGTTTTATGGCTTCATTTTATTAACAGCAAAAACACAGAATTAGTGTAGTGTATATATACAGTAAATGCTTTCACACTATCAACGAACCAAACCTTTTTTCAGTTTGATCCGGATCGAATTCTACCTCTTTTCGTCAAATCTATGGTCCGAATCTATAATTTTGATTCGGACCAAACTGAAAAGTCCGAAAGTCCGGAACAAACAAGGTAGGTGTGAAAGGGCCCTAATATAGGACGCCACCTTCTTATGATGCAACAAGTACATTGGGATTTGTGGGGATTGCTCCCGGTTCAGGCTGATCTAAACTATGCAGCCTAAATTGAATTATCTAAGTCTATGATGTGTTATGTATGCTAGGCCAAAGAGATGGTTTTTCTGCAGTGGAGCTCCTTGGCCGAGCTCTCGACCCAGTCGCATGTTCACATCCAGTTTGAGGTATTTATAGACGCCACACGCGCCTAGTTGTTGAGCTCTAGCCTCTGGAGCCCAGCGCGACCAGAGATGCATGTTCGGGGTTAGCGGCATGTGTCTGCGCGCTCTTCTGTTTATTAGAAGATGCAGTCGTGGGATTTCTGGGATTCGTGTTTGTGGCCAGGGCTTTTACTTGATGTTTGTGTTGCGAGCGAGGTCAAAAAGGCAGCCTGAGAGATCATTTCTCACCACTAGCCTGCTGAAATTCCTCCCAGCAAGTCGACAAACGACATCTGCTTTAGATATAAGAGTTTCTCAGCCTTCACTCTTTCCACTTAGAGTTCATTTAGCCACTTTCAGATGGATTTATATTGCTCTGTGAGTAGGGATATATAGATGTATTTATTGAAGGAGGGGAAACGACAGAGATTGTGAGAGTCATTGCTGCTGATCGTTTTACTGGGAGTGTATTACTGGACAGGGATGTCCCGTTTCCTCCACTGGGTGAACTCACCATTTTCTTTCCCGCTATAATAGATCACAGATTTCAGCATAAGACCACAACCAGATCTGGCACATTGTTTCCTGGTTACTCATAGTGAATTTGTAATGGATTTCCAATATGCCAATCACACTTTATTGGTTCCCTTGTGAGTGATTTAATTTTTCCAAATGCTATTCTGTACAGTCCTATTTCACCGTCATCCTGATGTGAAAGCTATATTAATATGCTAAATCATGAATCCTAGCTCCTTTTGTCCCAACCAGCCACATTATTTTGTTGATCGCTTGGTTTCTATTTCTGTATTAATCTCATCGCCCCAAACTCATGCTTTTCAATGCTCGATTATACATCAAATATA